AGCAGAAGATGGCACAAATGGGGGGAAAAAACTATTTACAAAACTAATATAGCAGAAAACTTTCCAAGTATAGGAAATAATTTAACAAACAATAAGTGAGGCATACAGAACCTCAAATAGACATAAACAAAAATGAACCTCACTGTGACCCAGCCAAAATCTCAGAAATCCAACAAAAAGGCAAACTTTTAAAAGCTGTTAGAGAAAAGCAACAAATTAATGATAAAGTTAAACCCATTAGAATTACACAGACTTTTCAACACAAACCTTAAAGGCCCAAAGAACTTGAGGTTAAGTGTTTTCAAATCCTAAAATAAAATAAATTCAATCCAGGTTAATTCCATCTTCCAAAACTCTTTCAAAATTGATGGAAATAAGGTTTCTCCATGACAAAGTTCACCTTAAGTAATTCAGGACCAGCACACCAAAAATTTCTCAAGGATAATGAGAAAGGGACAATGAAGCCAGCAAAGCTTCCCCTGAAAATAAAGAAATAAACACAAAGGATAATATAGGCAATTAAACAGAAGTGGAGAAAAGACATCTGAAACAGGAAACTAATTCAAAGACATGAATAAATTAATACCTTTCTGTAATAAATTTCAATGTGAATGGTCTCAATTCTCCACTCAAAAGAGACAGACTGGCATACTGGACCTAGGAACAAATTCGAATAATGTGCTACATGTGAAAAAACACATGTAATTAAAAAAGCAATTTGTAGGCTAAAAGTCAAAAGATACAAAAGAATAGTTCATCCAACAGGAACCCCAAAGCCACCAGGAGTAGATACAGTATTTTCAAACAAACTGGATAAGAGACAAAGACAGTCACCACATATTGGTTAACAGAACATCGACAGGAAGAGATCACAGTTATAAATATATATTTATCAAACAATGAGCAGAGCAGGAGGCATCATAATCCAGGATTTCAAGTTGTATTACAAAGCTATGGTGAAATTGCAGCATAGTACTTGCATAACAGCAGCCTGAAGGAATCAGTGGAACGGAAACAACTCCTGGAACATTCATCTGATCTTTGCCAAAGGGACCAAAAACTTTTCTTTTTTTTTTTTTTTTTTGTCAGAACTGGGGATTTAACTCAAACCCTTGTGCTTGCCAGGGAAGCAAGCACTTCCCTCAGTTTATTACACTGAGCCATCTCCCTGGTCCCAGGACCAAAAACTTTTGCTGAAGCAATAAGATGCTGGAATCTCTGGATCTAGGAGCAGGAGGCATTCTTTCAACATTTCAACATTATATATTGCTTTTGTCATATTTTCTATACAATCTTGATCAGATTAAGGAGCTAGCCTCTTGTTCAAACTGCCAGAGCTTTTATTACCAATGGAAGTTGAATTATATTAAATATTTATATATTTTCCATAGCATTGAGATAATCAAGATTTTTTCTTTTTATTAAAATGTATCATCTAGAGGTAAACCCATCTTGTAGAAACATTTTACACTATTTTTAATAAGCTATATAAAGGAGGATGAGTTCATCACTCTTATTCCCAAACACTGAAAATGATCCAGGATCTTTGTTGTTGTGGTTGCTGTGTGTTGTTGTGTGCTCTTATGTGTTGCTCTGGAAGGAGTAGGGACCAAGCCCAGGGCCTCGTACATGCGACCGATGCACTCCACCTGTGACCCATACTCGGCCTGCAAGGACTTCTTAGGTAAGCTTGTGCACACTGTGTACAGCGAGTTGGCACAGTCACAACTGCCCAGGTGCCAGCTACCTGGTTCCGAGGATAAGAGGTCACCGTGCACTGAAGGGACTCACTAGGTTGAACCCACACCTGTCCAGAGAAAGAATCCAACTGGATGGCACAGGCTGCGTGTAATGGAGGGGAATGTTTTGTGTATTCCTGATTTCTCTTGATAATATTGAAAATAAAATAGCATGCTAAAGAACCAAAAAAAAAAAAAAAAAAAGATGCTGGGAAAATTAGCTATCCATCAGCAGAATATTGAGTCTACATCCACATCTCTCACCATATATAAACTAAAATCAAAATGAATCAAATATCTAAATATTAAAAGAAGCACTTAACCTGATGGAAGATAAAAGAAATAAAATTCTTAAAGTCATAGACAAGGACTTTCTGAATACAATCCCAACTGCACAAGAACAACCACAAGAATCAACAAATGGAATCATATCAAATTTAAAAGTTTCCACACAGCAAAGGAAACAGCCAATAGAGTGAGGAACCAACCTATGGATTGGGAAAAAAGGTTTTGCCTGCTATTCTCAGACAGAGGACTAATATCTAGAATCTATAAAGAATTCAAAAAATTAGGCTCTCCCAAATAAAAGACCCAATCAACAACTATACAACTGAAGTGAATAGACACTCTTTAGAAAACATACAAATGGCCAGCAAATACATCCAAAAGTGTTCAACATAACCAGACATTAAAGAAATGCAAATGAAAACAACACTGTGATACCATCTTACGTTAGAAAGAATTACTGTCACCAAGAAGTGATAACAAATGCTGACAAGGCTGTGAGGAAGGAGGATCCCTTCTATATTGTTGGTGAGCGTGTAAACGCATCCAGCCACTATGGAAGTCCATATGGAGACACTAATCAAACTAAAAATAAAACTTCCATTCCACCCAGCTATGCTCCTCCTGACTTCCCACAAGTTAAAGAGGTCATACCACAGTGATACACACATGCCCATGTCTATAGCAGCACAATTTACAAGGACTAACTCTTGGAAGTGTTCTATGTGTCCACCAATAGATGAAAAGAGAAAGAAATTACACTGTATATATAGAGTGGAGTACTACTCTGTTATAAAGAAGGATAAATTTAATTCATTTGTAGGAAAATGGATCACCTTGAGACAGCAATGTTTTGTGAGATAAATCAGCTATCTAATTTTTTTTTACTGTCCACACAAGTGTTTACTTGTCATGAGAATCTAAGTATTCCTTAGCCCACATATTCATGTTTCACAGTTCAGGAACACTGACCAGCAACAAAAGCCTGTGGAACTCAATCCAAAGAAACCTTTTTATTCCTGTATCACTTTGCACTCTGAAAGGTACCAGCCTTCCTCATTTCTTCAAAATCTTTCATGGAATCATAATTTCTATAGAAATCAGCATATGCCTTCTTTCTTGGTCCAGCCACACCAAACTTATAGAGAGCTGCAACCCCCAGGGAGACAGCAAATGCTCCAACAATATGAATCCGCAGGCGCCTGGCCAGGAGGCCCTGCATCTGGGGTTTTGCCAACGCACCGGAACTCATGGTCGTTACCGTCCTCCACACCAGCATCCTTTTTCAGATATATAACTTTTTTTTTCTTTTTTTTATTTATTTATTTTTGTTTTGTTTTGTTTTGTTTTTATTTTTATTTTTCAACAAATAATACACTGCATATATTCTTCTTAGTGGTTAATTGCTGTACAAGATGCGGACTTGTGATCCTATTTACAAACACCATTAGAACAAATCATTCTATTCATTAACAGAATGTAACTATATATCTATCCCAACCACTTTGAATACACAGATACAAAATGGACATTCATCAGATATATAACTTTAAATGTCCCATGATTTCTCTTCTGTGAGAAATCCAAATATAAATAAATTAAAGAGGGCTGGGGACATAGCTCAGCGGTCTAAGTACCTGCCTGCAAGTGCAAGGACCAGGTTTGATCCCCAGTACTGCATGCCGTGCCAGCTCCAAAACCCCAGGCACACTATACTGGCCATGAAAACCAGGCAAGATGGCCCATGCCTGTGATCCCAGAGTTGGGAGACTGAGACAGGAGGATCACTACGAGTCTGAGCTGTGTAGTGAGACCCTGTACCAAATAAACAAATACATAAATTTTTTTAAATTTAATTAAAGAGCAAACTAGGGGCAGGGAGATGGCTCAGTAGAATAAGCACTTCCCTGGCAAATGCAAGGGCCTGCATTCAATCCTGGTTCCAGAAAAACAAAAAAAGAGTAAACTAAAAGACAGGTAGTAGGAAACAGGGGTCTATGTCATTTGCAAACAGGAAGTGGACAAAGAGATAGAGAGGAGGAGTGAGAGAAGGGGAAAGAGACTTAAAAAATAATTAAGATGTGTTCTTCTAACTCCCTGTGATGAATATTATCACTATGTACTACAAACATGTACTAGTAAAATTTTTTAAATGGTAGGATTTCTGTGTGTGTGTGCGTGCGTGCACACGTGTGCGCATGTACACAATTTTCTTATCCACTCATCAATCCCCAGGCACTTAGACTGTTTCCATGACTTGGCTATCACAGATGCCTTTATGTGATAGCAATTTAGATTCTTTAAGTGTACAGCCAGAAAATGGATGGCTGGTCCTACCGTGGTTCTATTTTTAATCTACTTAAGATCCTGGAAACTGCCTTCCTTGAGGGCTGAGCCAGTCTGCATTCCCACCAGCAATGTACTAGGCTTCCCTCCTCTCCACACCTTGTCAACATGTTATCTCTCATTTTCCCAGTAAGAGCCATGATAACTGCTACTAGATGACATCTCAAGATGGTTTTAATTTGCACTTCCCAGGTGGTTTACAATGTTAAGCAGCTTTTTATACATCTATTGGCCATTTTTAGGTCTCCCCTGTAGTAGTCTAGTCAGCTAGCCTATTGTTTGGGGAAACTATCGATGACAAAAGAATCCACAAGGAAATTCTTCAGGTTGAGGGATTTTCCAACATCATGTCACTTCGCCCTGAGAGAAACTCACCAGAAGTTGTTATCTTTCCTCACGTGGCCCTGTCTCTCGAGTTCAACCATTAGGTCTGCTTCACTTCTGCTTCCTGGTACCCTTTCCTCTGCACACTGAGCCAAGGGCCATGTAGGAGTGCAGTTCCTTCAGTGCATGGCCTGAGTGACAAGTCCAGGTGACAACAATTCATACCTTACCTTTTACCTCGTAGACCCTCCTCAAGAATGGAGAAGGCCATCCTTCAGTTAACAAGTGTGGGATGATTGGGTGTTTATGCCTTACGCATGAGATGTGTCTCCCTCAAACCTTGTTACAGCGTGGGCACATTACACGTCTGATGTAAAAAAAAAAAAAAAAAAACCGGAATGGAGAAGCCACTAGGCACTGGTTGGAATCATGGAATTCTCACTCAAAATGACCTTAACATGTATTCTTTGAGAGACTGACTTGTCAAATTGTACAAACAAAGTTGCAAATTTTTAATTCTTTTTAACTTAGGTAGGATTTCAAAGTCAATAACTTTTTTGCTTTTTCCTTCTTCTTTTTTAATAGGATTTTTTTATTTTTATCCCGGTGACGAAAAGATACAGTGACAATATATATTTGTCTAGTCCAGAAAAAGAAGGGAGGAAGCTTCAATGAATTTATTTCACTGTTTTAGAAAGTCACTTTAACCCAGTGCTCAGTGCACAAAGAGATGCCTCTAGTGACTGAAAAGGGATGAACTTCAGCATATTTAATGTTGGCACCTGGCAAACAATTCTGAAGGTTGCTTTCCAAATCTCAGCCTGAGAATCGCTTATTTCTCTCAGATACCGCGTAGCCAGTGGACCAGAGGAGGTAGATGGATAATTGGGCAGCAGCACAACTCATTTCTCAGTTGGCAACCTTTTAAAGCCTTTTAAATCCACACAGCGCCGGGCCTCTCCATTCCTCTTTTCTTCCTCCTGACTGACGTCTGCCACAGTCCT